AAAAAAAAAAAAAAAAAGATAAAGCTTCTTTAAAACATATTCAGTAGAAAAGTTATATTTAAAATACATAATCAGATTGTAAACAACTAAGATAAATATCAAGTTTGTTTCTTTTAACAGAAAGAACCCAGCCTGGAGGTGAAGTCAGTATGATTTTCTTAGAATCAAAAAAATGATCTCTTTATATAGAAACCTTCCAAAAGTTCTTATGAAAATAACAGATATAAAAGAATGAAGGGTGACCCTTAGTTACCATATACCCATCAGGAGACTAAAATTTTTTCCAGACAGCAAAAGCTTCCTTATATCTACTCTACTTTTAGGGCCCTGGATATTAGTATTAAGTATTAAGTACAGCAGAAGGATGTTTTCAAGCCGTTTTTATCTGAAGGCCTTAAATAAGCAGAAAGGTGCTGTTTTGAGAATGTTGCTTCTTTATTTTCCTTTGGGAAAATAAAGTCATGTTGATAGTTTACTGGCACCATGAAGCTTCTGCTCTTTGAAGTGGTGATAAACTGGGATTTCATCGTCTCATACTAAATTTAAATATACTTTATTCAAAATGCAGCATTGTTAGTATTTAGGTTCTTTCCATAACTTAATTAAACTTAAGACTAACTTTTAACTTTAATAATGCTCTGTCACCTTCATTCAGGAATGTATAGTTGAGAGAAATAAACCTTTCTGTTTTTGAGACCTTTGGTTCTAGTAATTGTCTTCAGTGGAGAGCTCCAGAAGTCTATAATCTTTTATAGATAAACCTTTAGAAAATCATATCAGGTTTTTTTTCTTGCTTTGTTCTCTTTTCTGTTTTGGGGGTTTTTTTTGAGACAGGGTCTCACTCTGTTATCCAGACTAGAGTGCAGCGGCGTCATCATAGCTCACTGCAGTCTCAAGTTCCTGGGTTCAGGTGATCCTCTTGTCTCAGCCTCTCGAGTAGCTGGGCCTATACAGGCGTGTGCCACCACGCCCGGCTAATTTTTCTGTTTTTAGCAGAGAGGGTCTCAGTCTTGTTCAAGGTGATCTTGAACTCCTGAGCTCAAGCGATCCTCTCACCTTGGCCTCCCAGAGTACTAGGATTACAGGCATGAGCCACCACGCCCAGCCCAGCTTTGTTATCTTTTAATTTTTTTAACCCATTTTTAAAGGTGAATCTTTTAATTTTAAAAAAGTTATACTTGTGGTAAAATATATATAACCTAAAATTTCTCATCTTAACAATTTTAAAATGCACAGTTCAGTAGCAGAACATTCACAGCATTGAACATCCGGTCTCCAGAAGGCTTTTCCTCTTGCGTAACTGAAACTCTACCCATTAAACAATAACTCCCCATTCCCCTCTCCCCCAAGCCCTTGCCAACCACCAGTCTGCTTTCTGTCTGTCTGAATTTGTCTACACTGAGTACTTTATATGAGTAGAATCATACATTTTTTTTTGGAGGTGAAGGGAGAGGGAGAAAAAAGTGAAATCATAAAATATTTATCTTTTTGTGGGTGTCCTATTTCACTTAGCATAATAGGTTTATCCATGTTGTAGCATGTGTCAAAATTTCCTTTCTTTTTAAGGCTAAATAATATTCCATTGTATATATACACCACGTTTTGTATATTCATTCATCTGCTGCTGGACACTTGTGTTGCTTCTACTTTTTGGCTGTTGGGAATGATGCTGCTGTGAACTGGAGAGTACAGGCACCTCTTTGAGACTCTGCTTGCTTCCTTTTGGTTACGTACTCAGCAGTGCCATTGCTGGGTCATGTGGTCATAGCAGCTTTTTTAGAGCAATATGACAGTACCTGCTTTTATAGAAAGTTAGGAAAATATAGAAATACATGAACAAGAAATTTAAAAATCATTAATCTGCCTTTTAAAGAGAACAGTTATCAATATTTTGGTGTCTGCAATATATTGCGAATTTTTTTCTAAATATAGTTGGAGGAAAATACTGTAAAAAAGTATTCTACACACTTCTTTTTACTTAGTTACTATAAGGTAAGCATTTTCTTAATTGTTTAAAAAACTGCTTTGTAAATATCTTAATGGCTGCATAATACTCCACCAGACGGATGTACTCTTAATTTATTTTATTATTTTCCTGTTGGATAGTTATTTCCAATATTTGTGCTATTATTATAAAATTATACTCTTTAATCATCCTTGTACACAAATCTTTGTGTTTCTAATTATCAAAATAGATCAGATAACACATTTCTGGGTTACAGATAATGGGTTATTTAAGGCTTACCTCCTTGCTTCCTGACTTTTAGAAAGGTTGCGGCCAGTTACATTTGTCAAAATGAAATATTCTTAATTTTTACGTCTTTGCTAATTTGTAAGAGAATAGAATTATGTTTTAATTTATACATTTCTGTGCTTCTAACTGATAATTTTTAAAATATTTGCTATTTGTAAAAAGTATAAAGTATAATGAACTTTAATTTTCCCATTTATCTGGGATAGTTTAAACATGAAAGAAGGAAGGATTTTAAAAAATGAAGTTTGGAAATGTATGTTCTTTTGACATTTTTTTAGCTTACTTGAACTTGTTTCAGGCTTCCATGCTTGTTATTGTGGCACTATTGTGTTTCTCATATACATTGATGTGTAACGTTCTTTTTTAAGTTAGATTTTTTTATGGCACTGAAAAAATCTGATTTTTTAAAATTTTGCTGCAGGTACAAACACGTAGTGCTGATGAACCAATGACAACATTTGTTGTCTGTAATGAGTGTGGAAATCGATGGAAGGTATGGCACTCTCTTGGATTCATACTATACTCATTTATAATAGAATGATTTCTTCTGGTCTTTTCATAAGATATCTAGATATCTAAATATACACAAATACATGCTCACACTAGCCAGTATTCCTGTAGTTTCTGACTACTTGTGATGGAATATACTGTCTTATAGTCTACTAGAAATAAAGAATGATAACTTGATATTACCACCCTCATATTGTTTTGGTGCAAGAATAGGGGGAGTGAATCTTAAATGTTCAATTATTGTATCACAGTCCTGTATATACCATATTCATTAAATTATTTCGACTCTTGTACTTCCAGAGAATCTGTACATGTTTATTACTTGTCTTCATAGATTTTGATTTTGGAAAAATTTCTTTACCTGTTGAAATCAAATGCAGTGATTTTTAGTGTTTGTTTTAGGAATTACAGATGAGCACTGTCGTGATTTCGTAGGCTTTTCACTAAGCCTTCCTATTGCCTGTGTGCTCTTGAATTAGCCCCACATGGGAAAGTTTATTTTATTTAAATGATTCTTTCTTGAGTGATTTTGTGAACCATAAAAATAAAATTTTAAATTGGGAGAAGAATTACATTTCAGCCCTAAGAACACTTTTATTATTAACATAGATTGGGGTGCTAGGGGTCTGGGGTTGGGAGGCTCACATGGTGGGAATTCAGTTTTTGGAGTCATGCAGACTGATTTTGAGCTCCCTTGCTACGTCCCATTACTGAACTGTATTTTTCTCATGTATTAAATGTAAATGATACCTACGTTGCAGGTTGTGATGAGTAGAGATAATATATTTGCCATGTCTGGTAATTCTCAGTGTTCCAAAAATACTAGTTTTTGTGAAGTTTGTATAAGATTCTCTCCCCCACCACAGTTAAACAGACTTTTTGGTTTAATGCTTAATTTTAATTATTCACATAGCTTGAAGCATTTTCTGAAAATCAGAAGGGAGTTGGAAGCTAGATGGATTGCTTCCACAAATATTTGGGACTTTGGTCCTAGACACTCTTTTAAAAGGTTTGGAACCAGAACCCGTTTTATTATATATAAAGATTTAGTTCTGGTCTAGAAAGGTTACTGGTATTGAGAGTTTCTTCATGGTTTGAAATATTATCTCCTGTCATTCTGAGGTGGCAGAAGTTGTTTACATTGGTCTAAGAGGGAGATATTCATGTTTTTTTCAATCTTGTTGAGCAAATTTGGCTTTGCTCTCTTAGATTTGTTTTGCACGAAGGATTTTTATTATTATGGATTTTTATTATTATGAAGCGTATAGTGCAGTTTGTTTTGAATTCATGCAGTTTGCAGCACAAGTTTTGACATAGTAATTATTGGATTTAACAAAGTCCAATGTAGAGTAGAAAGCTGAGGCCTAGGGAGGCGTATTCTAGAAGTTCACTTTTGGAATTGTTAATATTCTTACCCTAAAAACATTAAGAAGAGAGGTACTTAAAAATGCTAAAAATGTTTTATAATAGTTCTTTAGTTACCTGTTCCTACTAATTCTAAGTTGGGAAAGTCAGATACCTAGGTAATTACTATGTGTGAAAAATATAGCATCTTTTCCAAAAATGCCTTTTGTAAAAAAACAATAAAAGATATGTGTTGTATGCTGTATAAATGGGGGATATATCTCATTGTTTGTATTTAAAGGTCTCACAAAATATTTTTTCTTTTTTGACAGTTCTGCTGAGTTGGAAGAATTGGCAAAATGTCTGGACCATTAAGAAAATGGATTTTGTAATTAGCTTTAAAACTAAGCCAAGCAGCTAGTTTTCCTGCATATCAGATTTTTAAAGCAACATACATCCCTTGGGATAGTCTTCATTTTTGAGCTAACATCCCTTCTCTAAATGCCTTCTGTAGTTTCAGATCAGTAGGGAGACCGTACAATAATTGTATGTTTCAAAACTATTTTTTTTCATTTTTATAAGTTGATATTAAACTTTTACCAATTAAATTTCTGACAATTTATTTTTATTTTTTTCTTCTTAAAGGAAAATGTACCTTTTTTAATAGTGTGAAACATACACAGTAGAAATCCACTGTTATCCTGTTATTAATACATAAATGGAAGTTACATTTTTTTCCATATTGGTATGTATCTACAAATATTAAAGGAGGAGAAAAGGTAATATAATTTTAGGTTTACCAAATATGGTGTGTATCAAATAACACTTGACCTGCTTATCTAAATTGTACATAATATTGAACTAGCATATCAATTTGATTTTAATTATTATTTTCACAAGCCTGGGATATTAGTTACTATTTTACATCTGTAACTAACCTGATCATCATTTCTTGTAATTTCTTATTCATGTATATTACTTGTTCTTCATAGATTTGACTTCTGGAAACATGACTTGACTTTGTTGAAATCAGTTTGGTTTTGTTGTTTATTTACCTGTTTGACTTTGTAGAGTATTTTAGTTTTGCACAAAAACACCGTTGTAGTTTTTGTAGGCTTTTCATAAATCCTCTCATAGGCAAAGAATGAAAGCTTCTGACTATTACTATTTTTTCCCTCATAGGAAGACATACTGAGAAGAATATCTTAGCATCTTAGTATAGTTAGTTACTGTAAACAGTTCAAGACTTGATTTTGGTTTGGAAATCTGTACTGACCAAGGATTAAGCATAAGGATTGTATAAATCATTAAAGCTGTGGTCTTTCCATATGGAGATTGATAGAAAATATTTTTTTCCTGAATCTTATTTGCTGACTCTTTCTGTTGCACAATGAATGAAGTTATTGAACAAACTGAATATATAGGCTATAGCAAGTAGTTCTATAATACAGATCTTACAATTAAGTTTTTCCTTTTGTTTAAGCGTGTACCATTTTTTTCTCTTTGGAATAAGAATAAAAAATGGTTTTCATGTAGGTTCCTTAGAGTACATTTTCTCTAGCACATATTAAAGGCCATTGTTGCAAAGTCTACATTTTATCATGCCGCATCTGCATTCTATCAGATACCTATAGAAAGACCTCAGTACATTCTTTGCACTCTCCTTTGCGTCCCTTTTCCAATTTCTTATTGCAAATCATTTTGATGTAATACTACAGAAAACAGCATTTAAATGGCCATGTTCAGAATTAGCCCACTGGTACCAGCCCACCCCTACTTCATTAGTTCATAATTGAATCTTTGGTTTTATCATTTCAAAAAGTACATTTTTGGAAGAATGAGTTTAATAATAATATTAAGATAGCCCTACTTTTAAATTAAGTGGTCCATTTTTAAATTTGTAATTCAATAAAGTTTTTTGTTGTTGTTAAATGTGTATCACATTTTGTCATTTTTTTAGACATCGAAGCTTGTTTTACCTTCTGTTTAAAAAGTCTCCCGCTTACCCGTCAATTACTAAGGTATTTTTAAAGTGTAGTTTTAATTAGCGAAGCCTGGTCTTAAATTAAAACTAGTATTGAGTAGTAGTATACAGCGCGTTGTCTTTCTTGTCTTTTTCGGACCTCTGTTGACGGGTGGATGTTTCTGATTAGATACGTGAGTGCATCCCATGTGTGCGTTTAATGTAATGGGAGAGACTAAATTGTGAGTCTTACTATTGAAAAATACTAGACATTTATAAAATAACAAAGTAGATATTATTGAGGGTAATATTTTATAACATTTACTTCCAGGGCAAAAATAACAGTGTTAAATGAACATGCCAGGGAATTAAGTTAGACAAATAAAGTGGCAAATAACAAAGAACCATTCTTGAAAAGCAGAAAATAACAACCCTGGTTTTCTTGCTCACCTGAGTGGTGATGAGCATTGGTTTATAAATTTTGTTAAGTCATGGCAAAATATTTATATTCACCCAAACATCTAAATCTATATATATCTTCCAGATGGAAAATGTTTAAAGTGTTAACAAGTCAGCAAAAGAAATAACAAGACTGTGCTTTTTTTTATGTAACTACACAACAGTTGTCCTTAAAGGTCAAAGTGTAACTTGGGGATTTGAATTGATATCTCAAAGTAAAAACTACAGTTAAAGTTGTGACTTAAAGAGTTTTAATCAATACTTGTTTCCCACTCCTCCCCCTATTTATCTGTAGAAAATTAGCTATTCAAGAGGAATTATATATCCCACTCAGAAATGTTATGAGGATGATCACTGACAAGTGAAAGCCACATATCAAGAGTTAAGGATACTGGGCCGGGCGCAGTGGCTCACGCCTGTAATCGTAGCTCTCTGGGAGGCCGAGGCGGGCGGATTCTTTGAGCTCAGGAGTTCGAAACCAGCCTGAGCAAGAGCGAGACCCCCGTCTCTACCAAAAATAGAAAGAAATTAATTGGACAGCTAAAAATATATAGAAAAAATTAGCCGGGCCTGGGGGCACACGTCTGTAGTCTCAGCTACCTGGGAGGTGAGGCAGGAGGATCGCCTGAGCCCAGGAGTTTGAGGTTGCTGTGAGCTAGGCTGACGCCACGGCACTCCAGCCCGGGCAACAAAGTGAGACTTTGCCTCAAAAAAAAAAAAAAAAAAAGTTAAGGATACTGATTCACAGGAAGTAGAACAGAGTTACTGACAAACTCCTAGGTAGTAATAGAAAAATTATGTTAAAGGTAATTCAAGTAAATTGAAGTCAACCAAAAGTATTAATAATAGTGAAGTACAGGCAGTCCCTGGATTTTGGATGACCCAACTTCGGCATTCTGTACTTACGAATGGGCTCCCAAGGCTCCCGTAAGGATAATTTATAGTTAAATGATTAAATTAACAATTTGGGAGTCAGTTTGTTCCGTGCATGTAAGCAAACCTACACGGCATAAGTGCTTCATTGATGCAGCAACTTTACGCTAGCGACTAGTCTCATCATTTGGGTCACTTACTCCCAGCGTCACTTTCATCTGAAGTTTTTTATTCGATTTTGTGAGTCTATGTTTACCCTTATGACCATGCCTCTGAAGTGAAAGTCCGCTGGAAGCCCAGGTGAACCTGCAACAAAGAGGTGATTACAATGGAAATGAAACTAAAAATGATTGAGCGCTTAGAGAAAAGCCAGATGCCATCATTCATTTTTTCCCTTAATGGGAACGACTTTAGTTGCTTGACTTTCGGAACAATTATAAAGGATAAAGTAAGAATAATAGCACACGTGCCAGGCAGTTCTCCAATGAAAGCATCAATTATTACTAAGCAGAGTAGCAGATTAATTATTGAAATGGAAAGGTTATTGTTGATTTGGTTAGAAGGTCAAAATAGGTATAACATTCCTATTAGCCGAGGAATTGAAAGAGCACAATAGTTTCTGTAACTTACTGTACCCTGGGATATTATTGTTATATTATTATTACACTTTATTATTATTACCATATATGAGCCATTATAGTATGATATTGTCACTGTATATGCACTGTTCATTAGGGATCCAAATTACACACAAATCTGACCTAAAGATGTTCTCAGGATCATACAGTATCTTGCCTGTAACCCAGGGACCACCTGTATAGTGGAAAAAAAATCTCATGATCATGGCTGTGTTAGATAACCAGTAGGTATAACTTAATAAAGATGGAGTTGGTGAGTTCTTGTGGAAAATTTGTTCACTGCCGTATCTTTAGTACCTGCAGGAATGTCTGTCACATAGGTGCTCATGAGTTTTCTTGGTTATATTTGTGTCAGTGTGTTACAGCGTTTTCTTCGCTGTACAGGAGTTAAGATGTAAAGAATGTTCCATGAGTTGAGGACCTGCAGAGGTAGGGTGCATACTGGTTGGTAATGTTTTAGACTCTAAAGGAAGAAAAGTAATGAGGGAGAGTCTCAGGAGATCCCATTTAGTGCTTTAATTCTGCAAAGTGATGCAATGGTTTTATTATTAATTGAAAAAAAAATTTTAACTATGTGCTTGTTTGTCTAACTGGAGGATGGAAAATGAAAGCACAGATAACTACCTCAAAAGATGTACGCTGTTCTCATTCCTCGCCTTGGATGCTGTATAAAGGCAGCTAATTATTTTTTCTCTTAATGGACACAGTGCAAAGATAGAAACACATTTCATATGTGATATCCCATACAGTCTGGTTAAATTAGTCTAAGTGTTTTCATAACTGGATGACCAAACTGCTTTGAAATAAAAGTTATTTGTGTAATAATGCCAGTGTGAAATTATAGCTGGCATTAAAAAAGCAAAAACTGAGAGCACTGGAGTTTGGAATGGTGTAGCTATAAGTTTTGTCTGTTTAGCACTAGTTCCCACACATTTTTCTGATTAATTTAGGGGACAACTTCTCCCCTCCATGTGACCCTGGTGTGCCTTGTTAACAGTGTCCCAATCTAGCCCATGCTTTTCCTTAATGACAGCTAAGCCGGCAGGAGCTGTGTCTGGGGCTCCCTGCCCCATGTTGCCTGTCACATGCAGAGACCCTTTGTGTGTGAGGAAGCCGAGCGGAACTGAGACGGAATCAGAGCCCTGGTGGTGCTGGACGTCAGTCCAGCCATGTGGAAGCTAGAGCTACTGCAGACCAAAACATTTTCCTGTGTGCTTCAGCCAGTTTGAAATAGGTTTCTGTCATGAGCACGTGGGAAAAAATCTTAAATTATTTTGGGTGAATATTTGAGTTAAGTTAAAGAACTCATACCAGAACACTGAAAGCTATGAGAACACTGCTGAGTTTCCTGTCTGTATGCAGAAGCAAAAGAGATCGGGAGGTTTCAGTAAAGGTTACAGGTCACAGCGGACTGGTTTATGTCAGTATTGTTTTACTGGTATGTCCATCTTTCTAACATTTTTAATTTTTTGTGGTAAGAACACATAATAAGTGATACCCACTTAAATTGTTAAGCATGCATTATTGTTAACGATAAGCACGGTGTTGTTCAGCAGATCTCTAGAATTTATCTTGTGTGACTGAAACTCACTGAGCAGCAGCTCCCCGCTCCTCTCCCCAGCCTCTGGCAACCACCATTCTACTCTCTGTTCCTGTGAGTTTTGACTGTTTGAAACACCTCCTACAGGTAGACTCATGCAGTATTTGTCCTTCTGTGACTCATTTCTCTCCCTGAGCATAATGTCCTCAAGATCCATCCATCATCACGATCCACCAGTCTTGTCATATATGGCAGGGTTTCCTTTATTTTTTAGGGCTGAATAATAACTCCATTTTTTATATACGAAAAATCACATTTTCATTATCCATTCATCCATCAGTGGACATTTAGGTTGTTTCCACATCTTGGCTATTGTCATAACGCTGCAATAAAGAGTAGTATTTCTTTTTGAGATTCTGATTCCAGTTCTTTTGCATAAATACCCAGAAGTGGGATTGCTGCATGATAGGTAATTCTATTTTTAATTTTTTGAGGACCCTCCATACTATTTTCCAGAGTGGCTGCACTGCATCACATACATCCCTACCAACAGTGTACAACGATTCCAATTTCTCCACATCCTCGCCAATACTTATATTTTGCTTATTTTTCATGGCCATCCTAACAAGTGTGAGATGATGTCTCATGGTTTTGATTTGTATTTCCCTTATGATTAGTGATGTCGAGCATCTTTTCATATACCTGTCGGTCATTTGTATGTCTTTTTTGGAGAGACATCTGTTAAAATCATTGGCCCATTTTAAATTGGGTTTTTTGTTGTTTTAGTGGTTCCTTATATATTTTGAATATTATCCCCTTATTAGAGACATGATTTGCAAATATTTTCTCCCATTCCATAGGTTGCCTTTCCACACTGTTTATTATTTCTTTTGTAGAGCAGAAGCTTTTTACTCTGATGTCTCACTTGTCTGTTTTTGCTTCTGTTCCTTGTGCTTTTGGTGTCAAATTCAAGAAACCATTGCCAAGACCAATGTTATAGAGCATCCCTTGTTTTTTTCCTAAGAGTTTTGTAGTTTTAGCACTTAACGTTTAAGTCTTCAATTCATTTTGAGTTGATTTTTGTGTATGGTGTAAAGGTGAGGCTCCATTTTCATTCTTTTGCATGTGGACATCCAGTTTTCCCAACACCATTTGTTAAAGAGACTGTCCTTTCCCCATTGTATATTCTCAGCATCTTTGTTGAAGATCCACTGACTTATATGTGTGGGTTTATTTCTGGGCTATCTATTTTATTCTATTGGTTGGTATATCTCTGTTTATGTCCAATATGCTAGTATTTTAATTACTGTGACTTTGTAACGTATTTGCAAATCAGGAGGTGTGATGCCTCCAGCTTTTTCTTTCTCAAGATTGTTTTGGCTATTCAGGGTCCTTTGCAGTTCCATATGAATTGTAGGATTGTTATTTCTATTTCTCCAAAGAATATCATTGGAATTTT